TTTATAGTGCCGCAACAACCCTTGTCAACAAAAGCTTATTTAAAAAAATACGAGAAATATCAGCAAACCGATTATGACTGGGGAATATTGTATTCCCATATTATTCCAGTCGTTTGTTTGTCTGCCCAATTGGCAAATTGTAAAGACTATGACAATACAACATAATCGCCTGCTAACATATTGTTCAATATTTTATTGAATTGCATGAATAAAACACATATGACACATATATTGCATTAAGATCGAGAACAATAACGAAATGCTGTCATTAATTGCCACCTTCCAAGGCGAAGTATTGATCGTTGTTCGTTTGGTGCCAATTTGTATGATTACTGCTGGTCAAGGTCTCGGAATCAAATATTTAAATCGTTGGTATGCCTGCTACCTGCTACCACACAACCGTAGCCAATTGCAAGTTGGCCGACAATAAAGTACGTTTACTACTACATTTAATTTATGGAAAAAGAATTCTGAGATGCATGACTTTAACTAGAGCTAAGTTGTTGCAAATGTGACTTAAATGTTTGCAATGTAACAATCTGGCAACCCTCGTTTAGCTTATCCTAAGTTTTGCATTGTCCGTTCGTTCGGATGTACTCAAATATTAATTTCACAAAAGTTCTATAACAAATCCAGCATAAGTCCCCATTCTAATGTTTTTAAAGCATTTCTTTTTAATGCTCTAGTTAAGCTTAACGGGAACTAATGAGAGCAATGGAATAATTTATAGCTACATAAATATATTTATTGCTTGTAAGGAATTTATATTGCAATAAGTAGACATTATATATATTTATACAAAAACAAAACTGTAAAATACTCGCACAGTTGTACTTTTATAGGTATATATATATTTTCAACTGATGTTCTTCCTTCTTTTCAAAAATTGTTTTGTGAGTATTTCTCTGTACCTTAGTGATCGTGAGTCGGCTCTAAAGATTTTCTCTTTATTGTAAATGTGGTCAACAACACCAACAGCACACGGCACCAAATTGAAATTTTTCTTGGGTTATATTGTTATAAAATTCAATACTTATAAAATAGCTATTATATTTTCAATTTGAGCACAGGCCTGCAGACATCGATTGATCACTAAAGATCACTTAAGGTCGTAAGATTTTTTATATTTGCATATATTAGCAGAGTACATTTAATATTAACAATTTGTTAATTCAAATCATGTAGGATAATTTCGATACGAAATGAACTATGATCTAAATATTTTGTTATTGATTCCTACAAGATTGGGTGGATAACTTAAGATAGGGCATAATGCATATCAGTCTGTGTCCATTTGTTTGGTTCGATTTCCGTGTTGACTCCTTCTCTGGCAACGATATTATTATTGTAACACCGCTTGTCTATGCAGCCCAAGACCAACGCCACATTTCCCTGCGTATGGGCGTCCAAATAATAGATGGAGTCTGCATCCCTAGACGACTCTGTAAGTGTTGGTTACAAGTTATATATGAGAATATTTATAACAAATGCCCAAAAAATTAAAATTGTTGGTTAAGAGAGTAGCCAATGAGTTTCATTAACAATAATGGGCCCAATAAAAAGTTCGTTAGCCTGTGTACCCAATGATTATCATTATCACACAACTCAAACCACTACTAATTTGTATGTATGTATTCTGTGCCTATTTTATATGACATTAAAGGTAATTAAATTACCTTTACAAATTGTATAAGCTTGTGTAGCTGTATCCTAGACATAATCATATTTTGAAGAGTTAGCGACCGTCCTTACCTTAAAGCGTCATATACAAAATAATTACTTTAACATTTATATTTTTAAAATACATTTATTATGACAATATTAATTCATTTTTGGTCACATCACTTTCCATGGAATGCTTATCAGTGATCAGCTGCCAAGCGTAATCTGTTCAGTTTAGATAGTAAAGGTTGCCGGATCACAGCAATAGGTGTAGCCCATAGCAGCGGTACTAGTTAGATTCAGCGGACACGGGATCGGGTTTCGGCAGTTTGCCGGAGCAGGTGGACTTGCTCCGACGAAAACATTGTTGTACGTTATGAAAGCGTGCAATGCCAGATTATTTGCGTCTCGCACAATTTTGTACATCCAGGTTGGTACAGGATTCTGGTTACGGCCTGCGAGATAGGCCTGTTTCAGGGTGCGTCTCGGACTGGAGTCGGCCAGGCTCAACACACCCAGAGCGCCCGTGCGAACATTCAGCATAGAGGTGTTGGGAATTTGGGTGTGGATCCACTCCTCGATGAGTTTCCAGTTGCCATCATTGATCGATTGGAACTGGGGCACCACATTCAAATACTTGAAGGTGCCAGCGGCTTGGTCGCCAAAAAGAAAGTCGGACGAAGCGGTTAGATGACCACGATTGATAACCACATGCCTATTATTTCTTATGTACTGTTGATTTTGACCATAAATCCTACGGAAGGTGCGGAAAATATTTCTTGTTAAATATGAGGCTGCCTGTGCAGGCGTAAAAGGTGATCAGTTGTGAACTGCACATTTGGACGAGTTGGTACTACAATATTTAAAAAAAAGTCATTATATACAAATCCATGGTGAGCAGCCCTCAAACTTACAGATTGTCTTCGGATAGAGTGTCACATCCGAGAAATAGGCACGCACAGTCTGCGGATTGTAGCAGGTACGATACAGCTGCAACGTGTGATTATTAAAGGTATGGCCAACGATAAACATTAATGTCGGGCAGGCGCGATTGGTATGTGGCAAAGGACTAACATCGGGCACATTTCGTGGGTTATGGCAATGTACCGGTAGTGTCGGACGAAACTGTCTGTTCCTCTGACACGTCGTATGATGCACTTCATTTTGTTCACAACGCAATGTGATTGTAGCACCTGGGGCAAGAACTTCCGTCCCCAACAGCTGGATGTTGTTGGAGAAATCGGTAAAGGTGTAGACTCCATTCGCTTGCTCGATATTCCGTCGGGTGATCGTACACTGCCCGCGAACCTGAGTGATTGCCACTACACACAGAGAGGAGCATTGAGTCGCACTCAAAGTTTGAGTTATTCATATTTACCCAGCAGTGTCCACGAAAGTAAATGCAGCTTGATAAACATCTCGCGATCGTGATGAACTGACTCAAACTCCCGGGTTGCGATCTATTTATAGTGCCGCAACAACCCTTGTCAACGAAAGCTTATTTAAAAAAATACGGGAAATATCAGCAAACCGATTATGACTGGGGAATATTGTATTCCCATATTATTCCAGTCGTTTGTTTGTCTGCCCAATTGGCAAATTGTAAAGACTATGACAATACAACATAATCGCCTGCTAACATATTGTTCAATATTTTATTGAATTGCATGAATAAAACACATATGACACATATATTGCATTAAGATCGAGAACAATAACGAAATGCTGTCATTAATTACCACCTTCCAAGGCGAAGTATTGATCGTTGTTCGTTTGGTGCCAATTTGTATGATTACTGCTGGTCAAGGTCTCGGAATCAAATATTTAAATCGTTGGTATGCCTGCTACCTGCTACCTGCTACCACACAACCGTAGCCAATTGCAAGTTGGCCGACAATAAAGTACGTTTACTACTACATTTAATTTATGGAAAAAGAATTCTGAGATGCATGACTTTAACTAGAGCTAAGTTGTTGCAAATGTGACTTAAATGTTTGCAATGTAACAATCTGGCAACCCTCGTTTAGCTTATCCTAAGTTTTGCATTGTCCGTTCGTTCGGATGTACTCAAATATTAATTTCACAAAAGTTCTATAACAAATCCAGCATAAGTCCCCATTCTAATGTTTTTAAAGCATTTATTTTTAATGCTCTAGTTAAGCTTAACGGGAACTAATGAGAGCAATGGAATAATTTATAGCTACATAAATATATTTATTGCTTGTAAGAAATTTATATTGCAATAAGTAGACATTATATATATTTATACAAAAACAAAACTGTAAAATACTCGCACAGTTGTACTTTTATAGGTATATATATATTTTCAACTGATGTTCTTCCTTCTTTTCAAAAATTGTTTTGTGAGTATTTCTCTGTACCTTAGTGATCGTGAGTCGGCTCTAAAGATTTTCTCTTTATTGTAAATGTGGTCAACAACACCAACAGCACACGGCACCAAATTGAAATTTTTCTTGGGTTATCTCGTTATAAAATTCAATACTTATAAAATAGCTATTATATTTTCAATTTGAGCACTTTATTTTGAATTGTTGCACCTTTAATTGTGATTATCATCGCCTACAGGCCTGCAGACATCGATTGATCACTAAAGATCACTTAAGGTCGTAAGAATTTTTATATTTGCATTTATTAGCAGAGTACATTTAAGATTAACAATTTGTTAATTAAAATCATGTATGTTAACTTCGATACGAAATGAACTATGATCTGAATATTTCCTTGATTGCTTCCTACAAGGTTGGGTGGATATCAAAGAGAACATTACCATAATAGTTATCCAACTTAAGATAGGGCACAATGCATATCAGTCTGTGTCCATTTGTTTGGTTCGATTTCCGTGTTGACTCCTTCTCTGGCAACGATATTATTATTGTAACACCGCTTGTCTATGCAGCCCAAGACCAACGCCACATTTCCCTGCGTATGGGCGTCCAAATAATAGATGGAGTCTGCATCCCTAGACGACTCTGTAAGTGTTGGTTACAAGTTATATATGAGAATATTTATAACAAATGTCCAAAAATTAAAATTGTTGGTTAAGAGAGTAGCCAATGAGTTTCATTAACAATAATGGGCCCAATTAAAAGTTCGTTAGCCTGTGTACCCAATGATTATCATTATCACACAACTCAAACCACTACTAATTTGTATGTATGTATTCTGTGCCTATTTTATATGACATTAAAGGTAATTAAATTACCTTTACAAATTGTATAAGCTTGTGTAGCTGTATCCTAGACATAATCATATTTTGAAGAGTTAGCGACCGTCCTTACCTTAAAGCGTCATATACAAAATAATTACTTTAACATTTATATTTTTAAAATACATTTATTATGACAATATTAATTCATTTTTGGTCACATCACTTTCCATGGAATGCTTATCAGTGATCAGCTGCCAAGCGTAATCTGTTCAGTTTAGATAGTAAAGGTTGCCGGATCACAGCAATAGGTGAAGCCCATAGCAGCGGTACTAGCTAGATTCAGCGGACACGTGATCGGGTTTCGGCAGTTTGCCGGAGCACCTGGACGTGCTCGGACGAAAACATTGTTGTACGTTATGAAAGCGTACAATGGCCGATTAGTTGCGTCTCGCACAATTTTGTACATCCAGGTTGGTACAGGATTCTGGTTACGGCCTGCGAGATAGGCCTGACTCAGGGTGCGTCTTGGACTGGAGTCGGCCAGGCTCAATACACCCAGAGCGCCTGTGCGAACGTTCAGTACAGAGTTGGAGGGAATTTGAGTGCGGACCCACTCCTCAATGAGTCTCCAGTTGCCATCATTGATCGATTGGAACTGGGGCACCACATTCAAATACTTGAAGGTGCCAGCGGCTTGGTCGCCAAAAAGAAAGTCGGACGAAGCGGTTAGATGACCACGATTGATAACCAAATCCCTATTATTTCTTATGTACTGTTGATTTTGACCATAAATCCTACGGAAGGTGTTGAAAATATTTCTTGTCAAATATGAGGCTTCCTGTGCGGGCGTAATAAGTTGATCAGTTGTGAACCGCACATTTGGTCGAGTTGGAACTACAATATTAAAAAAAGTGATTGTATACAAATCCATGGTGAGCAGCCCTCAAACTTACAGATTGTCTTCGGATGGAGTGTCACATCCGAGAAATAGGCACGCACAGTCTGCGGATTGTAGCAGGTACGATACAGCTCCAACATGCGATTATTAAAGGTATGGCCAACGACAAACATTAATGTCGGGCAGGCGCGATCGTTATGTGCCACAGGCCTAATACCAGGCGCACTCAGTGGATTGCGGCAATTTATCGGCAGTGCCGGAGAAAACTGTCTGTTCCTCTGGCACGTTGTCTGATATACTTCATTTTGTTGACAACGCAATGTTATTATAGCACCTGAGGCAACAGTTGCCGTCCTCAACAGCTGGATGTTGTTGGACCTATCGGTAAAGGTGTAGACTCCATTCGCTTGCTCGATGTTCCGTCGGGTGATCATACACTGCCCGCGAACCTGAGTGATTGCCACTACACACAGAGAGGAGCATTGAGTCGCACTCAAAGTTTGAGTTATTCATATTTACCCAGCAGTGTGAGCGAAAGTAAATGCAGCTTGTTAAACATCTCGCGATCGTGATGAACTGACTCAAACTCCCGGGTTGCAATCTATTTATAATGCCGCAACAGCCCTTGTCAACTTATTTTTAAAAAAATGCGGGAAATATCAGCAAACCGATTATGGCTGGGGAATTTTGTATTCTCATATTTTTCCAGTCGTTTGTTTGTCTGCCCCAGTTGGTAAATTGTAAAGACTATGACAATACAACATAGATCACCTGCTAACATATTGTACAATATTTTATTGAATGCAAGAATAAAACACATATGACACATATATTGCATTAAGATCGAGAACAAAAACGATATTTTGTCATTAGTTGTCATTTTCCAAGGCGAAGTATTGATTGTTGTTCGCTGCCTAATTTATTTATCTTCAATTTAAGTTCATGCTCGCCGTTTGGCCAATTTGTATGATTAATGCTGGTCAAGGTCTCGGAATCAAATATTTAAATCGTTGGCATACCCGTAATGAAACATTTAACCCAGTTGCTAGTTGGTTTATTTAGGGGGCTATCAATCACGTATTGTGCCTGGTGAACCGGCAAATTTCCTCTGGCAAATTTCATCTTATAGAGCCAAGCCGAGCATGCATGTAGAAAAACTTACCGTATAATAAATCACCGAATGGAAATGACGACAGCAAATGTCTGTGTTGATTCAGAACGTAGGTCAACTTCAAAGCGACGACAACAGCCCGACTACGAAATACGTGTATTACTAAATTTAATTTATCAAAGAATGAATTCTGAGATACGTGACTTTAACTAAAAATAAAACCCTATACAATTGTTAGTAAATCGTTTATATTTAATGATCTGGTTAAGCTTAAGGTGAACTAATGAGAGCATTTGAATAATTTATAGCTATTTAAATCTGTATATTGCTTGTAAGGAATTTATATTGCAATAAGTAAACAGTTTATATATATATATATTATATTTAATGTGATAGAAATTATTATAATAAGAATAACATAAATTATTGTTATTTCAAATATCGCAATTATTTTCAACAATTTGTAGCTCATTTCAATCATATCGTTTTAGCTGCAACACTCTAATATACCTATGAAAGTAGAACTGTGCGAGTATTTCCATACACTGTCTTGTCCCTAGATGTTTTGGCAGACCCAGAAACTCTTGAAGTCAAGAACAAATTTCTGTCGGCTTAAGATTGTTGTTGCTCATATTGCAAAGTGGTTTTAGGTAACAAGACGTCTGCTTCAGAATTGCGTTGACCAAAGACCTGACAGAACACATTCACACTCACACACACAGACCCACTTGGCATTAGCACCATTAATTTTGTAGGTTACACTTTGCCGGCATTTCTCCTTTTCAGAATGTTGGCTGGCTGCTGGTTTTTGTCTTATTTTGTTTGTGTCGCGGTAGATTGGCAGTAGGCAGACTGGAGAAGTGGCCGAGTAAAAGTGTTTCACTTGTAAGCATCAGATAGATGGCGGTCTAGTTGGCCACATTTCTCGAGCAAATGCCACATCAAGTTGCAGCCGCAGCAAATTTCAACTTTTTATCTGAATCTGGCTTAAGTTACAAGTTGAAGCCGCAGATAGATATTTCAGCACAAAGTGGCTTTGTTGTTTGGCTCATGACTGAGCTGCTTTTAATTTATATGACCAAAAAATGTATATTACACGCACATGCACACATACACATACACACAAGCAGCACACAATGGCAGATATAAATTTTCTTACTCAGTTAGAGCGCTGTCATTCCATTAAGTAGATGCGGCGTATACCTAATGCTACCTTTAATCAATATACATGGAAAAACTGGCCCCTGCTGACACACATCTGAATTGGGCAAATGTAAGGGCCGACTACAATGAAATACGTACAATACAAGAAAAATATATAATTTTGAGCTGAAAGTAAGAAATGTTAAGTTACTAAATAAATGGAGTTACTTCAAACATAACAAGCCAATAAGGGACTCAACCATTTTGGACAGTGACAAGGACAGCTACAGGACTACCGTCTGCCTAAGCAACAATGCACAAATACAAAAGGAATACTCATACACATAATTTCTCATTGAGCTGATGCGAATGTAATCCCCATGTTGGACTAAGTGGAGCGAAGGGCCACTTTCACTTGGCTGGTCAGCAAACACAATAAAACTGTAAAGAATGTGCTCCACAGTTGGGCTTGTGTGTGGTTTTTTGTATTGTGTCCCTGTCTCCGGAAGCGCATTGTCAGCTCCATTAATGTTGATTATACGTTAATGTAAAGGATCTCAACCAACTGGCCAACGACGCGATGTTGTCCCAACGGGGTTCGGCATCATCAGGAGAAGAGAGGGTTGGGGTGGCTGACAACCGCAATGCAATTTAATCGGCTGCCTTGCAGCTGCTAGCCTTTAAGTGGCGTCGAAAAGTTTAGTGCAAAGTTTTAATTTGCATTTTAGAATGTGCCCGGCAGGTGTAGTTAGGGTGGCTGGTTAGGACCCCAGGGGTAATTATAATGCCATTAGCGTGTTTAGTTCACAGTCTGATTTAGCCAATGCCGCTTGCCCCCAAACAAATTGGCTGCTGTCGCGCTTATCCTGGCAGGACTAAGCAGTCTCTTTCCTCTTTGCTTTCAGGACCAGCTTCTGTTATTGCCATGCAAATTCTAATGGAATGCTAAATGTTTATTTACGCAGCAAGGGATGCCAAGTGACTGGGAGTGGCAGTGGCCCCTCAACTATTTTGTCGCATTTTGCATATTGCAAATGGCTCTGCAACGCTGAGAGGCAACACTTTTGCTGCAACGCGCCGCTCTGCCCGGCCCCGCATTTTTTCTAGCTCGCGGAATTCGTAAAGTCAACTCCATTACAGGAGACTGCAATCACTTTGAATGCAGCTCTAAATTAAGCAACAGGCAACATAAACGCAGAGAGATAGATTTAATACCTTATAGAATTCAAATTGCCGAGATATTTGAATAATATGCAATCTCCATATTTTAACGCTATCAACCTGTTTACTTAATTGATGACATTTCTTGGTTTTCATTAACTTTACAAATACTTATTAGCTCATATTATTTGCATATTCTTGTCTGATTGGGAATTTTTCCTAGTTTTCCCCAAACATTCTAATAAATCTTGGACCATTTTACATTTTAATATCCCCAGATTTATTATATCATATATTTACATTTTTTTCTTTCCTTAAACTTTTTATTGATTTTTTCCTCTTTTATTTTTATGTTGGTTCATTTGTAACTTAAATTTTTACATTTTCAATGACTTTTATCATAAATCATTTCCTTGCTTATAAATGAGAAACGTAGCTTTGTACAATGTTTTTCAGTTGCAATGTTAACCCCTTTCCATTTCGTTTTAAATCTACTTTCTGCAATTCCATTCCATTTTCATTCACCATAGAATAGGTACTCATACAGGTTACATAACATGAACTACTGTTTTGCTTACATTTTCTTTCTCGAAAAATGTTTTGTCCAAGCAAGTACAAAACTTGAAATGTAAATTAAAATATTTTTAAGCTCCACACACTTCTTATGCAACTCTAATGTGATTCGTGTGGCAATTTCAATTCTCCAGCATTTGGCCTCAACGTTTCCAAATTCAGAGCTGGTGCCAAGCAGGAAATGTCTGCATGCGTCTGAGAATTGTGACCTTTGTTGGAAACTCAAGGATGCCTTTGTTTATTATACTTTTACGCCAAGAATAACCACTGGATACCGTCTGAGCTTGAACTGAACTTTTTTTTGGCAGCGATGCAAACTTATTGTCGTTTACCAACGCACTAAAATCTTCCAGTCGATTTGCCGTTTGCCAAAACTCATCTCTAAAGCATGAGATTACCTGCGAATTCGGAAGATTCGGTTCTGTTATACTGACGTATGCCCCATAACGCATCACTAAACGTGCTGCACAAAAATAAATTTCCCAAGTTGCAAATGAAACTCGCTGGTGGTATTTCTGTGAGTTTTTGTTGCCCGCCCATATTCCACACTCCAAGCCAGCCTCGCTGTGTTAAAATTAGCAAGTGACGCGGGTATCGACGCCAAACTGTTGATTCAACTCCCGGCTTGTACGCTCAGCGACGATGAAGTCTACATATAACGAGCGACCTTATCGCTTAAGCATTTTCGCACAAAAGCCACACAAAGCTGCCGGGCTCTATAGCTGATGTAAGGCTGTATGTCTGGCTGGCTGGGTTTGGTTTTGGTTTTGGCCCTGGTTGTCGTTGTCGCTCTGATCTGGCCTGGCAGGGATGCTGCCGCACATGGATTCATTCAACTTGACGCTAATATCACATGCTTTGATTACAGCAGCGTGAAATTTTATTGATTGGCCAGCTAACGTCGCATGAATGATGAGGCAGTAACCGCCCAAAAGGGCGATCCCTTAGGTGAATAAGGGCAAGTGGCCGGTATTGAAAGTAATGCTAACAGCGAAACTCTAAATAAACTATTAAGAACCATCTTTAGCTCAACTACACAATGCCCTTTGCACATCTAATAATCTTTCATTTCTGAATTCATTTTCAATTAATATACATACTTAAGATATCTTTAAAGTTAGCAAAGTCAACTATGCACTTTTTTTACTGATATAGGGTGAAGGTCGTAAAAAATCGAAAGCTTTGAGTTAGTAAGAATCATTTTACATCAAAGTTCTTATCCTATTATCTTTTATTATACACTATCCATTAAAGTTTGGCAAGCCCTCCCAACCTAGTTAAGCTTTGCTCCCCTTAAGTGAGTATTATTATATTCTGTGGAGAGTGTCACAAGCGTTGCCAGCTAGTCAATGGGACTCGGTTTTGGCCCGTTTGAAGCATTCGCTTTGCAGATGGCTGTGTAAAACGTCCAAGCATTCAATTTCACTCACAATGTCCTTCACAGTGAATGCATATATATATATATATATATTTAAGTGTGTGTGTGTGTGTGTGTTTGTGGCAGAAGTTGCCGCCTTCGCGAGCATATTAACTGCCATTGCTGTTGGGGCACTGGGGCAGTGGATATGGCTGTCTCCGCCTCTGTCTCTGCCTCTGCCTCTGCCTCTGGTTACGACCACGGTAGTTGCATGTAGTATGAGTAGTTGTATCTATAGAACCAATCTCGCTTGACAGTTCCACATTTTCGTTTTGTGTCATCCTTTGGCGCTGTTGGTGTTGATGTTGCTGCTGCTGCTGTTGCTGCTGCTGCCACTTCGTCTGTGCACTCTCATCTCTGCTTTTGTTGTTTTTGTTCGTTCTCGATTTCATTCTTTAAAATACGAAAATCCCCAGCTCGCACACAGGCAGAAAAATGCCGTTGTCGCTTAAATTCAATTGGAACCGCTTCGGCTTGAATGTAAGGAGAGGCGGGCGAGCGGAGGGGCAATCTGTTGAGCCCCTTTGATTGAATGAAGCGCGAATGAGCGAATTGCATGCGCTTCGCTGGATAAATTCTGAGATCCATGATTGAATGCCGCCAAGCGATGCCATCCCAATGTACACTCACAACAAACTCAGCGCATATCGCATAATGATAATGTCATTAAAATCGAGAATGCGTATGTCGCTACATTGATTTCTATCGGTTAGTTGGCATGTGTCAAGTACATATGAATATTCAATATATCACAATCTTTAATTACATTCGCTTTTATCAGTTTAGTTTGACAAAAAGTTTTATCGGAAAAAAAGCATCATAAATCACATCGTAATAATCACTACTAATCACATATATAACCTGAATTTATTATTCCACTGTTTTCTTATATTAGTATATATACTCAGTTAATAATTATCGCGTTTTACTTAGCTTGAACTCATTCTTATTTTAATTGATATTGTATATGTATGTAAAAATTAGTGCTAATTTGCCTATACGGCAGGCATGCATTTTTTTTACATACAGGTGTACAAATGTTTTGATCCTCTAAAAAAAAAGCTGTATACGTCCAATTAGCAACAGGTTGTGTAAAAAAATCGATAATATCTCATATTCGACTCAGTAGTCACATATTTAGATTACATAGTTGATTAGAACAATTATAATACAAATTTGACAAACATTTTTAACACGGGCCGCGATAAGAAGCCGACAAAAACTTCTTAAAAACACCAAGGCAACAAAGCAGATAAAGAACTTATATGTAAGAATACATGCATAAATAAACCAACATGCGTTATTAGAAAACTAATAACATATAGTTTATGTGAAGCTATGTTAAGAAGTATCGGGCAGAAAATTATTTGAGCAAAAACGACACAGCTGTTCAGTGTTTAACAGCACCGTCTTGACCAGAGAGACCGAGAGACAGAGATAGAGAGAGAGAGTGATAGAGTGCAACCAGCGGCAAACAGCGAGCTATCGTTCAAGCAGGGCTGTCATCGTTGCGATGGGCGTTTTCAGTTTGTGTTCTCCGACCTATTCATATTAAATTAAGAGCAACTGTTGAGGGAAGGTGCCTATTAATATTTTTATGGTAGATCACAATTTATGTCATAAGTTGCAGTATCTAACCAATTTAGTATGTACACCTTCAAAGCATTTAACAAAATATGTTCAGCCACCGCGCGTGCAGCTGACAACCCTGTTTACCTCTGCGCCGTCGCTGTACACGTCATCAGCTGAGCGACGAAAAGAGAAAACCGCGAATTGTTTTTGTTACGCTGTGGCACTGTTCTCATTTCCATTGCAGGCAGCTGCGACTATTTAATTTGTGTAGTTTTTCGTTGCACAACAATTTGCAATTTGGGGCAGGCAATATTGTCACACGTGAAAATAACGGATAAGTGGCGCCTAAAATTAGCAACATTCGGTGACGGCGACACAAGCACGCCATTGACATTGATTCACATTCAGAAAGAGGCAGAGAGAGAAAGCAGCTGTTGCCAGCGAGCAAAAGCAAAAATAAATCGAGGAAGTGTGTGCAACCGCCAACGCCACGGCCAGTATCAGCTGCTCGCTCTGGCCATAAGCAATAATTTATAACTATTTGAGCTTCTGGGCAGGAACGTACAAAGCTATAGGATTATATTAAAGCAGCACACACATTCCCAGCAAAAGCATCGACCAGAGTGGAGTTAACAGCACAACAACATTGGCAACTGTAGCGGCAAGAACTGAGCCTGGAACCGATTGATACCGCAGTGCATTTAATCAAAACATTTTGTGTTGTGTAATCAGCAAAGTGAACGAAAAAATTCGCAGCCATGTCAGAGCAGAAAGAGACAAGCAAAAGAGTGACGCCGCCCGCGTTTTCGAAATATCTGATTGGTGGTGCCAGCGGCATGGGTGCCACCATGTGTGTCCAGCCCCTGGATCTCGTCAAGAATCGAATGCAGATAGCTGGTGCCGGTAGCGGCAAGAAGGAATACCGCAATTCCTTCCACTGCATTCAGACGGTGGTTAAGCGCGAGGGACCCCTTGCCCTGTACCAGGGCATTTCAGCAGCGCTGCTGAGGCAGGCGACTTACACCACTGGTCGTTTGGGTATGTACACTTACCTGAATGAGGAGTATCGGACACGTTTCGATCGAGCGCCCAACGTGGTCGCCAGCATGGTGATGGGCATGATAGCGGGCGCTTCTGGTGCATTCATTGGCACCCCGGCAGAGGTGGCTCTCATCCGCATGACCTCCGATGGACGCCTGCCGATGGAGGAGCGACGCAACTACAAGAACGTGGGCAATGCTCTAGCCCGGATAACACGCGAGGAGGGAGTGGCGGCACTGTGGCGTGGCTGCCTGCCCACTGTGGGTCGTGCCATGGTCGTGAACATGACCCAATTGGCCAGCTACTCCCAGTTCAAGTCGTACTTCCGCACCGGACCGCTCCAAATGGAGGAGGGCATCAAGCTGCACTTCTTCGCCAGCATGCTGAGCGGCCTGCTGACCACGATCACATCGATGCCGTTGGACATTGCCAAGACGCGCATACAGAACATGAAGATGGTCGATGGCAAGGCCGAATACAAGGGCACCATGGATGTGCTGCTCCGGGTGGCACGTCACGAGGGCATCTTTTCGCTGTGGAAGGGTTTCACGCCTTACTATTTCCGCCTGGGACCGCACACGGTGCTGACGTTCATACTAATGGAGCAGCTAAACGGCGTCTTCAACAAGTACGTGCTAGGCACGGAGAAGCGCGGCTCCGGCATATAAGCTGGGCCAAGGGACGCAACTGTAGCAAGCTGTGTGGCCTTGTTGTTGTTAAAGTTTAATCTGTTGTACAGTGCTAGCCAATATATTCCAAACAACTCCTCGAACGATGAATCAAACTATGGACAATACAAATGATGGGATGATAATAGCGATTATACAATATACAAATACATATATATATACATATATCTTTTTACGATCAAACGTGAGGCATTTAAGTGTCGCGAATTCCGGTGACAGTATAACGAAATTGTATGCATCTGTTAAGGCAGATTTCTGTTATTAAAAACAAAATAATAAGTAAAAAGTCGATTCTCAATAAAGCACAATATTAAAAACATTTCCAGAAGTGTGTATATAGAAATATATATACTGCACTCATTACATTTATTATCTGATTGGCATTATTGCTAATATGCTCTTATCTCGCTGCTCAAAGAAAACTCTTTTCATTTACGGCTAGCTTTTGCTAGTTTCCCTGATAGGCGTTATCATTAACGCTGCTGCTATTATTTCGGTGCAAAGTTGAAAATATTTAAATATGGCACAAAGCTTCCCTACATTGATAACACAACTTAGGGGTTATGATATCCCCATAGCTATACTTAAGACTGGCTATAGAGACTTTACCCACATATTTTTGTATCATGCACAAATATGATTGATATAAATAGAGGGTATCTCGTATTGTTTTGATAGTTTGGTAAACTAGTTAGGAATATATGTATTTATCACCTAATTCAACATAAAAAATACTTTAAATGCAAACTCGAATTCAATTTTTGTCGCTCTTCTTTAATACATTTGAACATAAAATTATATTTATGACACACAGACAATAAAAAAGCGGATAAAATTTATTTAAAAAGTTTTATACGCCATTATTCATGGTACTTTGATTTTGTAGACCAAATATGCATAATATAAAATTAACAATAATAGTTCTAATAGAATGCCTATTTATCTATTTAGCTCTTTTATATTTAAAAAAAGAAAATGTGATCATTGATCTCCATAGAAAAAAAGTCAATCAGACCAACATAAAAAATAGTTTGCATTAGTTAAAATGTTATTCACGAGACAAGACGATTAAAATTGAGTCTAATGACAGAAATACAGATATATGAATTGATAACAACATTAAACAAATTATTCATGTGTCAGAAATGTGATAATCTAATAATAGTAAGCAGCCAGTTCAGCTTGTAAGGGTATAAGCACTTCGTGTTCTATGTTTTAATAAATTTGTTAACTGAAGCGTTAAGTTTTCTTGGAAATATGCCCCCAGTTGAAAGTAAAGTGGACCATCGTTGGCCACAAGCAAACATCGCATTATACATACACCCAGTTTGTTGGAGGCGGCAGCTGCTTGGGCTGCTTTTGCTGCCGAATACTATTTGCGTAATAAAATTTGTAGCTGGCGCAGTTTGGGTGCTAGTAGATTTGGCCGCAAACCTCTTGGGTTATAACAAATCAAAAGTTTATCTCATAAATAAATGAAAATAAAAAGTTCATAGCCAGCGGGGCGCAGTTAAACGAAACACTTGTTTTTTTTTCTTAGCGCTGTTCGCTCACTTAAAATTCAGAAGATGTTATCCCTTCGCCTGTGCTCAAGTTCGGTTCAACTTCAAGTGAACTCGGGGTAATTAAACTCTTTTGGAGCACTTTGCGCCTTGTGGTTTTGAAATTGTCTCCAATGAACCATTAAGTGATGAAGCTGCACTTTAATAGTATTCGTAGCGCGTCTGTGCCCTTTTAGCACTTGTACACGGTCCATATCGTAATAAGATTTACTGAATAGCTTTGACAACCATCCAAACAAATCACATTAAATTCTGCAAAATCGCGATTATCATTGCATTAGCTTCGAACATTAAAACTCTATTCAACATGCGATTTTTCTTTTAATTAGCAGACACAGCAGCTAAGCAGAAAATTGGAATCCTCATGGATCAGTAAATTTCATTTATTTGTGAGTAATTAGCCACATGAAATGTACTTTCTTTTTGGGCTGCTAAATATGTATATCAACTTTTGCAACCATCTGCTAATGAGTTTTAAATTGAGTGTAAATACTTTTGTTTATTATGATGTGATTATTGTTTTACATATTCATTTAAACTTCAATATCAGCAACTACTCACCAAAATGGTTGTAATAATTTTAATATTTATTTTAATCTGCTTACGGGGCATCATGACGCTGATTACGCTACTGGGTTTTAAAATGTGTTTGTTCCAATTGATTTTGGGCATTAATGCAAAAGCAAAACGAGCTGAAACATCAATAAGGCGGCTGTCTGCTGAATCGTGCCCAAATCATGAAGGCCGCAGATGTTTTGGTGTTGGCGTCGGGTGCCCGATCCTGGCTCATAATTCATAGCATTCAGTTAGCTGGTTGGTTGATTTGTTGCTGGTTGTTGGTTGGGTTTTGTGGGCGGATTGTTTGGTTGGTTGGCCGTCGAGTTCGGTTGCTGGTTATCCACTCAGTTGCCAGGCTGCCCATTTGGCGCTGTATTGTTTTTCTGGTACTCGCTTTTGTAACGTTAATTGCAATACGATGCTCAGCGGCCCTGGGCGCAAAACTAATTGCTTTTACAGAATGTTTCGAACGCGAAACTTTTTTTTTATTTGAAATTTATGAACGTGTTTGGTAATGGCGCTATACTGCTTGGCATGCCACAAAATATTCTATTACATGGATTCGTCACGAGCAACAGCAATGCAATTTTCCTGCTAGCCAACTTCTGGGGGACGAGGGACTGGGTAACATACGCATCATGGCGGCAGCTAGAAGCGGAAACGGAAATGCAGAGCAACTACTTTGTTGTTATGCTCTTGTGCTGTGTGTGTTCTCCTGTTTTGTCACCGCTTGTTGTCTGCTCCGAGTTTTGTTTTATTTGTCTTCCTTATTTTTTTATTTTGTTGTTTCAGGCAAACCGAATTTCCTTAGCCGTTTCAGTTTTGCCCATTAGTCGTGTACATAACGTTTAACTAGCGTTCGAGATTTACTTCAGCAAAACTTGAACGCAGAGAAGAGCATGCTCCAAAACTTTGCGCCAGTAGAAACTTTTAAATTGATTACTTGCTGCTAAGTAGAGCAGCCTTATCGAGTCCCACCCATTGGCAGACAAGTGGCTGCATTTCAATTAGCTATACTCGTACAAAGTGCTCGTATCCAGAACATGTATAAGGATTTTTCTTTCCCTTTTGTTGCGTGGCAAAAGTTTTACTTTATAGGGGATATCTTCAGATGTCGTTTCCTTGTCAGATTCAATTGTGTTGGCAGTATCATTAGTAAGTATAATGAGACCAGTGTAAACAGTTAATATTCGGTCATTCACTAATAGATTTTATTCAGAACTGAGCCAATTCACTAAGGAATGCGTTGCATTAAGAGTTGCCTAAGAGCATATGTAAAAACTCTTGCCGCTTTAAAATATTTTATTATACATTTGATTCATTTATATCTTTCGTAAGTATATTATCGGACTTACTGTTTTCATTTCAAACAAGCGGGATTATGACCAATTTTAAATACTTACTTAGAGCGATGATAAATTCTCTTTAAATTGTTGTCTGACATTGAAGTGAATATTTATTCATGTGTAAATAATTAAGCCGATACCAAATTAAACTTCTAAAAGTACCCGCTTAACATACTATGTTGCTTTTTTTATTGGTTTTTTATTTGATTTTCTGCGACTTGATATTGGTGCCGCAAAATGAGTTTCGTCTCTCTAAAGGTTAAGCGACATGTGTATGTGTGTGTGAGTTCACACAGTGATGCCATTTGTCAAGTTGGATAGCAGTCGTAACCAACCTCAAATATAGAACCAACTTTGACCCGATAGCAAATGAACTTTTTTATTAACTGGCAAACTTTTCAAAATGCGCAATTTTTTATTAATGTGTCTCCGAATCCTTATTTAGCTCAATATTACGATTTTTTTTGTTTGCAATTTTCCCCTTTCACTAACAATTCCCATTGTTTCAACTTTTGCTTTGATATTCCTGCGTCACATTGGCTTTCTCCTAAATTAAAAAATAGGAAACCTTCTCACTCTGTTTTCACCAATTTTGCGATTTAAGTATACGTGGAGTTCCTGCTCGTGTACACTTTCCAGATGCTCCTGCTGCTCATGGTGCTTGTGCTCTTGAGCCTTGTGACATTTAAAAGTGATTTAATTTACTTTTATTACACTGCAACGTTGCTTAAGTAAAATGCAGTTTAATTTATTTAATTGAATTCAATTTGTTACGAATTGCAAATGAGTCTGACTTTGTGTGTACTTTCCTCTCTTTTTTCTTTTTTTTTTTGGCCTGACTCGGATTTATTAAAGCATTAAATTTAAGACTTGTAATTTAGCGTCAAAGCGGGGAGCTTTACGACAACAACAAACAACAAAAGCAACAACGACCAACAACAGTCAGTGGCAGTGTCAATGTCGACGTTAAAGTTGCGGCTGCCCCTTGCTTTAGTTGTGGATGCTGCTGCTGCTGCTGTTGCTGCTGTTGGCACAACAGGACCATCCATGTACGTGATTACCAAGGGAAACCAGTGCAACAGCGGGCGGTCCTTCTGCCTGACTACGGGTCACAACTCCAGCTGCTGAATGGGCCTGTAATTTGTACTTGCACTCGTGAACAAGCGTGTGTCTCTCTCTCCCCTCTTCATATGCCTCTGTGCGTGAAGTTATTCAACACAAAATACGAGAAAAATATCGGGGCTGAGACAAAGAATTGGCTTGCTCCCTGCTCAAGGTCAGCCCAAGGATAACGCATATTTACGTATTAAATCAACAAATGTCGACACTTTGGCGAGATGCTCCCTGTGATATTTCATGCTTTTGTTTTCCGGCCCCACACTAATACACACACACATACACACACACATCCAGTGCATGTGTGTGCCTTTATCTGTTAATTATGCTTGTGTGTGTGCTTTTTTTCCAATTTTAAGCACAAGAAAATGTCGGATATTTGTGTTTGTCCCGATGCCGGCGATAATCCACTGATGTCATTTATTTAGCTCGCTGCGTCCAACGCCAGCTCCCTGCCCTCTCCAATGCAGCTCTCTCTCTCTCTAGTACCTGGTATTGGCCAGGCCACGCCAGACTTTACAACCTTATATCTCTTTCAACAGCTTGAAGCTGTAAGAATTGTTCACTGACGCAGAGCAAAATTCACGCTTCAATTGAAAATTGCGTGCGTGGTATTCAGAAAAATGTGTTGCCATCGCAGCAGTTCCCAAAAAATAAAAGGCCAACTCCCATAACAATAATACAACAACACAACACACAACAACTCTCCACCTATTGACACAAGGATGCTTTTTTGTGGCTGTAAAAAAAAACACATTGCTAGCAGCACTTCGAAAGAATTGAGAATATATATTTTTGAAGCGTTCAGGTCGATTTATTTTTTCGATATTATAGACAAGTTGAAAAAATATTAGTTAAAGTATTTATAATTAATATTTCTGAAATATTCTTAATAAATGTAAAAGTGTAAAGCATTTTATTTTTCAAAACAATTTAATTAATTAGGGTATCACGATTTCGGCAACAAAACGTTTCTTTCTTTTCTTTTTTGTATGTTATTTTTCTTACTTTCGATTTTATGTATATATTTGGTCGTGCTATGTCGTTTGGTAATCATTCGAATGGCTTCTAATAAAATTGTGGTGGGCGTTCATATTTATAAATTGTTAAATATAAGCCAATGTTGCCGAGTATAATAGAAATTGTGGAGGCATCCAACGAAAATAGCAGAGCATTGTGTATAGATATGGAAAATCAGCAGAGAGCACACAAAAAGGCTGCGCCTCAATTGGCCCATCCAGCCCGAGCAAGAGGAGCAGTCACAGCCAGAAGGCAGCAGTCAATAGCATCCAGCAAGAGCAACTTAATGCCTACTAGACTTCAAAACAGCAACGACAACGGAAACAGAGAGGGAGGAGCTGCAACAGGGAGTCATCTCCACAACACAGTTCATTGAGTTCGACTTGTTGTTTGTTTTATTTCCAGACGCGCTTTAATGTCGTTTATATTTATACAATTTAGGCCCTCTTCCCCAAGAGCCATTGCCAAGTGCAAGCGTCGCTTTGTGGCTTCACCCAGCATCCTTTGTTCCCACTCTTCGAGGCCTCAATGAACGGGTCGATAGGTTTTACAGCTTGCCTTCCATTTACGACCAGGAGACGCGAATAACTCCTTGTCGTCCTGCTGTGTTTGCGTATTTGCCGCAGTTCATCAATTTATTTAGCATTTTTATGCGCATTGCAAACTCAAAATTGTTAAAAACGAGCTAAATTGATTTAATTAACGACTCTTAAATGACAGTAAAGAGAGACCATCTTTCATTCCTAAAGGTCCATGGCCACAGCGGCTACATGCATTTTCAATTTGATTACGCTTTCGCCATTGTACACTCTAACAGCATTTTTATGTCCGACTTGTCAGAGGCTGTTTCCTTAAGGGTTAACAACCAGCGACGGCACATTAATAAATCAAATACTGCATCATTTAAATTTAATTTGAAAACACTTCTTCTTTTGGACGTTTTCAATATTCCTGATAAATATTTATAATTTGTTAATATTGTAATGTAATTATGACACAAATTAAAAACTTTTCAATTCATAATAATGTTTTACGTACCTAGCCTGAATTTTTCATTAAAAGTGCTAAAGGCGTTTCCATTAGGCAGTGTAAGTAGCATCAAAAGAACGATTATAATTGAAAGCCGTATGATAGCAACATTATTTAAGTTTATGTAATTAATGATAACCTCTATCAATTATGGCCGGCTATCAATAAATGCCTGCAACGTTCACCAGGCGCACTGTCAAAAACATATTTGGATGCCTCCCAAAGATACAATTGAGAAGATAAATGGCAGAAGCAAAATTAAATTAAAGCCAACCAGTTGGAGCCGTTCTCTGCAGATGTGCTGATAACTTTCCCAAGTCAATGAGTCTTTGAGGCATTTGAGCAAGGGGGGGCTTAAATTGGATTAAAATGCCAGTCAAAATTATTTCTCTTGTTACGCATAGAAATAAACCAGTAATTAAACAAACCAAATAAGCCATTAAAAGGGCAAAATATGCGCAAGTCTTAGAATTTGTCTTCAGCAGTATTCACCTTATTACCAAGGTGACAAAACAGTTAACACGATATATGTTTATCATTAAACGCGTTATGAAAGAGTAAAGTGTGCTTCTGATATGATAAACTACACAAAATACACACAGCACAAGCAACACACAATAATCAAAACAGTCGACTGAGTAACCCTAATCCCCATACAAACACCCACTCACAACTTTAGGCACACACACACACACACACTCACACACTCACAATTGCAATGCCCCAAGGGACTTTGGAATAACGACCGCGCATTTGGCCCGACCCAGCAACAAAGTCATGAGGACAATGATTGCTCTTGCCCTATATGTGTGTGTGTGTGTGTGTGTGTGTGTGTGTGTGTGTGTGTGTGAGTTTGTATGTGTATATTGGCAAACAAATTCGCTGAACAGCTGAGAAAGCGCAGCGAACCCGTCCAATGCCAACACCAGAACTCAGAGACAAACACGCGTTTCGGTTCATTAACCAACCCAACAAAAGAAGTTAAAAAAGAAAAGAAAAACAACCGAAACAACAAAATAGATTCAGAAAGAGAAAGCGTGAGCGAAAAGCGAAAGAGAGAGCAACTGTTCAAGGAACTAGCAGCAAAAGGGAAACCAAATTACCAGCAAGCAAATAAAATGTGTTTGAGGGTTCGGCGCTGCTTCAAATTTAGTTTTTGGGGCGATAAGTAATCTCAATCCCCCTCCTCTCTCCCCTTGCACCCATACACTCTATTCCACCGCAAACCTAAAGATCTGTGCAGTTTGCGATTTGATGGCCCCCTGTGCTATGCAACGTTTCTTTTTTTTATTAGTTCTGCGCTCATCCGCCATTTTGACAGTCGTTATTCGGCTGATTACAACAAGGACAATCGCCAGGCAGTCGGTGTTGTCGGTAGCCCCTACAAATGCACTATACAACAAAATAGAGCAACTACGTAAAGTTAAATATATACATTCCATACATTCAGGAATAACGTCGGCACGAATTTTAGAAAATCTCTTTAAAAACAGTAATGGCCTCTAAAAAATAATAAAAAATGTCTTAAGTAAAAAAAAGTAATTTTGGAGTTATGGTCACACATATACAAAATATCCTGGAGACTAGACATATTTCTTTGAAATTTTAACAAAATGTAACAACTAAGAATACTTTTTAAATTAAATGGTGAGTTACCCCTGTCCGATTCCCTAATATGCACCCTTTAACGCTTTTAAAAATATGGATTCTTTAAGAATTTACTAACTTTGATTTTGTATTGTGCTTGTGTTGCATAGTGTTGTTTTTGGGGAACTCTGCTTTAACTTTAGTCGCTTTTGTGGGTCATTAGTGCGTTGTGTTGTGTAGTTTTATGCTAGTGGGCATGGCTGGTGGTTACTGCTCGCTGGCTTAATTTCTCATTAGTTAGTTGATGCACGTTGCGCGATTTGTCCCCACAATGTTAGCGAAACGAACCAGTTTTCGTCGAAGCACGCACTCACAGCTTAAACTTTATGGAGCTCAACATGAAAGAGAATCCGGGCAGCTGTTGTGTGTTTGTCTTCAGCGAGTTGTTTTAGATGCGTTGCTTGCATTTCGCGCTTTGCTGACTGCACTCATTTTGGCCCCCCTCTTATCTCTGGACGGACAGCCCGACTGACTGACTGACTGACTGACTGACTGACTGACGGACCGACTGAGTGAGTGTCTGCTTGAGCGACAGCTGCACAATGCAATCCATAAGTTTTGCTGCTGGCACTTGGCAATTGTAACTCTATTGCCCCATACTACATGCATCCGAATGTTAACTGTAAAGTGTAAAGTTTATGTCCGTAGTTTGTCCTTCACTTCTGGTTGCGTTTAGCTCCTCCTACGTCTGAGCTACTGTGTTTATCTTCTAGCTAGTTCATCGCAAACATAAAGTATTCCACTACCACAAAAAAAAAAAAATAAATAGAATTTATTTAGTTGGTTGGACAGCTGAAATTTGAATAATGTTTGGCCAGACGTCAGTTACTGTTTCAGTATATGTTTTAATCTCAATACATTTAAGTACATACATATGGAATACAAATCTGTGATGCAGCTTAGCTTAATGCTTTTGATTTGTGGCGCCAATGACAATTGTAAATGTGGATCCATTATATTATAAGTTGCTAGTGGATTGATTGGCTCTAAGTAATTACACACGGATTTAGTTCTATATATATATTAATTTATATATATATATATATACATATATATATGTATTATAAATTCTTGCTGCTGCGCATTCATCGGATGATTTAGCTTGATTAAGCAGCGCTTAAGTGAGTAAATTTCACACATACATATACACAGATAGAAGTACACATACCTACATACAAGCTTAAGTGTACACTTAGTGCTATTTATGCAACGCACACACACACACACACACACACACACACACATACACATATTACTCTATGAGCTATGAGCTTATATGGTACACATATTGAATATTAATAATTGCCTCTGGTTTTTGTTCCGGTTTACTTTACTCTGTTTCTCTCAGATTTGTTTGTTTTTTAAACAATGAGCATGATTCTTTTAAATTTTTCCATATCCTTTTTTTATTTATAGTTTTATTTTTTGCTGTCATTTCTGCTTGAATACATTACAATGCAGTTTCTGTCAGTGTTATTATATTTGTTTTTTTTTTCTTTTCCATTCCGGTTGCTCAGTTGTATGTTGTAACGAATCCAACTTCATAAGTGTACCCAATAAATACTTAAGGAAGTACTTACGTATACTATTTTAATGAGCTTTTTACATGCCACGTTATTAGATATTTAACATTGGTGTTGTATCCAGTGATTACTTAGTATGCTACCAGTTTAGAAAAATTTACGCTCTCTGATAACTGCAAACTAAATAAATAAAACAAAACTCACACAAAAAATTATAATTAGCTTACTTTTAGTTTTAAGCTGCTCACTGCAGTTTTAATTACTTTAAGCTGCTTACTTTATCCGCTAAATTCATATTGTTCTTTAACTTAATTTATTTCATGCAGTTTTGTGCATTTTACAATTGCACATTTTAACCAGCAACGGGTTTTCCTCCTTTTTTACCTAACAACTGGAAAACTTTAACGGAAATGTATTAAATTCGAACTTTTCATGGACAAAATGAAATAGTTACCGTTAGTGTCGGGTTCTATCTGGTTCGTGGCCCTATTCTCTCACTTTAACTTGTCGAGTTTTGCCTCGCTTCATGAAGTGCTTGCAGAACTGTAGAGAACACTTTTCAATCAAATTTGTTAAAGTGAGCATTAAAAAACAGAATCTGAATTTGTTTTCTCGTGAAGTTAAAGCTCAAAAACATAGCAAGCTAGATTTAAGAGTTGAATAATTTATGCCATTGAGACGGATAAGTTGGAATCAACTTGCCATAAAAAGATGGACAAACTTTTTTGAAGCCTTTTGCTATTAGATTGTTTAAATATATTTTGTTTAGGCTAAGATAGGTTTAAATTCATTTGCACCCGTAATATTGTACAGTTTTGAGTTAGTTTAAAAAGAGAGTATTACACTTTTGTCATTGTTTATATATACTCGCAAAATGAGCATTATTTAAAAGGGGCGAGAGAGTTTGTGTCAGGTACATGGACAGGTTGAAGACGTAGCTTTCAGGAAAACGAAATTTAAAGATGAATTTACATTTACAAGATGGATGGTTGTCTAAAGAACTTAAGTGGATAATATATATTCATGGAAGAGCTAAGATATGATGGCTAATTGTTACTCCTTATGCAATAAATAAAAAACAACTATTGACCAGATCGTCAACAAAACTGGCCAATACAAGAGTTGTATCGCTTTATACAACTATATGGGAATGCATATCTTAACCCTAAAATGGTTGTGTGCCTTGGACGAGTTTACTTAACCGAAGCGCTTGAGGAACTCGACGCCATGCCGACCTGATACTCCAGCTGTGGCGTCGTCTGCACCAGGGCCAGACCCACACTCTCACTGTCGCTGCTGTTTTCGTCGCTGTGCTCCACATCGTCCACATCCTCCAGGGTTGTGATCTGACTTTGCACACTCTGGCGCAGCTCGAGCGCCGCATGATGCCCCGACGTGGACGACTTCGCCTCAGCCTCTATCAGAGATGGTGCCGAACTGGTGGCGACTGTCGTTACCGCTGTTGGGGAACTGAGCGATGTGCTGGATTCGCGAAAGCGCTTCACACCCATCATGGGCAGAGGCATGGGCATAAAGGAGACATGATGTCCCGATCCCGAACACGATGCAGTGCTCGTGCCCGGGCCCATGGCAAAGCTGATATGCTTCATCGCGGGCGCTATTGGAGTATTTGCCGCACTAACGGATCCACCTTTCAATCCGCTCATCGACGCCTCGAGCAGCAGCGAGGGCGGCACCGACGCCAACGTCAACGTGGACACCGACGATGGCCTGCCCGCGCCCAAATGCAATGAGCTGACCGAAGCCGCCGCTGCTGGCGGCGCTGTAATTGTCACAATCGTCTTCGCCGCACTGTTCACCGCCGACGTCGAGCTGTAATCCCCCCTCAGCTGCATTCCCGAGCTGCGACGCCGCGCACGATGATGATGCCGATGGAAGCTCTGGCAGCGTGTGCATGAGCGCTGCGACGACGACGGCGTTGCTGCCGCCGATGAATGATATTGATGAGAGTTGCGGGCGACGCCGCCGCCGCCGCCACAGTTGCTGCTGCCGCTGCAAGTGCTGCAGCTGCTGGGCTGACGTCACATGAGGTTGCGGTCCAGCTGATTGACGGAGTGGTAGCCAAAGGAAGTGGAGGCGGCCACCATGGCAGCGGCCACATGGCACTGTGGATGAAAAGGAGCCAAAGAGAGCAGATAGATGGAAAGAGAGAGAGAGAGAGAGAGGAAGAGGTAGAAAGAGAAGTAATGAAAAACTTGTAGTCAAATTTCAATTTGCTGTTTTTTGTTGCATACAATTTACAGGCAGTGTTGAGAAGTATATATTGTATGTGTGTGTCAGTGTGTGTTTTGTAGGTATGGCAAAAACAATTTGCCATTTTAAGCACAGCGGCAACAAAGCTGTTCAAAAAACAACAACAAGCCGAACAACAACAAGGACAACAATACGAAAATGTTGCGGGTTTTGCTTTGAGCTTAATGCTTTTTTTTTAGTTTTTGTTTTTGTTTTTGGTGCACTTCGTGTGCCTTTTTCCGAGGTGCAGTAAAAAGTCAAAGCGAGATGCGTGATTGAAAAACAACAATAACAACAACAGCAAAAACAAGAAGAACAACAAAAACAAAACACATAAAAGCAATAAGCAAAGCAAATGCAACACAATAAAAGAAAAACATTTTTCGGGGAGAAAGCAACAACAGCAACAGCAGCAACAGCCGCAACAGCCGTTGCTGGGTGACGGGGGAAACGGAGGAAGTGGCTGATGCAATACAACACAAAAATACAATTTCCGAATATTAGCTTCCTCAAGCACGAGCTCACATGCCTCATGAGCTGCATTTCACTTTGTGGCAATCAGTGGATCCAGCCCCACCCCCAAGCAACACATAACAACAACAGCACTCATCATCATTTTGCTGATTTTTATCAACCTGAAAAGACATATTGGCCAAAACAGTTTCCAAAGCAAGCTGGCCATGTGGCTCACGCCAGTTTACTGTGTGTTTCTGTGTGTGTGTGTGTGTGATATTTGTGTGTATGCCGTATGAGTTGCATATTGCTATTGTAACTTAGTTTTTGAGCAAGATTGGACCCTCAATTGAGTTATAAGCTAACAAGCAATTGCATCTTATTCTAATATTCAAGTGAAAGACTTTTATTACGCATACGCAATGTGTTGCTGGTCCTTGGGCGTCTGTCACTATTTGATTAACTACTTCAAATGGCTTACGATTTTGAATCTCGCCTGGGGATAATTGAAATCACACATTGTATGACATTCAGCATATTCCCTTAAGCTTCAGCTTAAATGTTCAACTTGAGGATGGCTTTGTTTCCAACACATCACATTTATCTTTATTTACACACATTTTTATTACAAAATCCAATTCTAATACTGGCAATAAAATAAATTTCTTTATTGCGATTTTCGGACTTTTACTTCTTTGCGGATTTATGACTCAAAACATGCCAGCAACGTTATCTAGAGGGCGGGCCAAGCCCTCGCAAGTAGGCGTGCTACGGGCAAAGTTCAACACACTCCGGAGGCCCTAAAAATTCTTGTTTTTTCGCGAACAAATTAGTCACGACCACGCCCCTTTCTCCTAATTTATTACTTGATATTCTATGACCAGCAGACAGGCTTCACCGTGGATCAAGCTGCCTACCAAAAGGGCAACAGCAGCGAAAAGTTGAGGCCATTACTGACACGGCTCATTCGGCAGCGAGCAAGTCTTTTTTGTCGACTAACAAATATTCTATATAATAATAATAAGCACAACATAAAAATTTAAAGCATTGCAAATGCAAATCAATACACAGTCGAGCTTAAATAACTCGGAATTCCCAAGAAAATTAAGGGTAAAAATTCTGTACAATTTTGCATTAATAACTCAAATATATAATTTACCCAAACACAAACTTAACTTATATTTTGATACAGTCTCGAGTTGGTTAAGTTTGTGTTCACTGGAGCAAATGTATACTCTTTAATATTAATTATTAATTGTATTTATTCTACACATCCTTGTATATATACCCCTGGCTGCAGGGTGTTAGACAGGAAGCAGGCCAAGAGTTTGTTGCCATAGTGTGCACCATTGAGCAGCACCACGCTGTGGTCGCTTTTGGCGTCTGTGTCACATAATTATAAACGTTAATTTCACGTTCACAGTCCATTAGGGATAATTGATGTTTTGCAACATTTGTGGTAAATTACATTTTGATGCCCTGCCTGGCTAAAGGGGCGAAATACAGCATAAATGAAAAAACATGAAAGAACGGTTATCTTAAGCATGCCGGAGATTATATACCCTTGAGACTGACGTTAATCCGCGGAAATCTAAATTTTGGTTCCGAGTTTGAAATATCGTTTAAAAATTCGTACAGACAGATATGACTATTTCGACTCGGCCACTGATGCTGATCTATAAATTCTTGATGACGTCGAAGATATATCCTTCAATGCTTTGCAAATTTGACCACAAAATTAAAATACTCTACAGAAGGGTACACAAACCAAAAAAAAAAGGGAAAGTCGAAGGAATCTGTAATAACTGACGACAAAATGTTGGCCTGCACGACATCGCTTAAATTTAACCGTCATTTTGCGAAGCAGTCACGAATTAGTTTGATTGATTGTCTTAACAGGAATTTGGCCGGGCTTATTGGGCAGGTTGTACCAAATGGCAAAAGGCGGCTGCAAAATAATGAATGCAATTAGCAGCGTTTATCACAGAAGTTCAACTGAAATTCGCATAATATAGGAAACAAGATAATTGCCTGTATCTAGAACTTGTGTGTTTGCTCGGGTGTGTGCGTGCGTGCGTGTGTGTGTGTGTGTGTGTGTGTGCGCGCTTGTGTTCCTCCGCTACTCGAAGGCGCCAAAGCGCAGCAAGTCCGTTGTGGGCCCCGACCTCAAACTGGCCAAAGAGTTCTTCTGCAAACATTTAGAATAACAATTTCATATTATTTGTGCAATATATTTACATATATAAAATGCCCAAGCTCAAAGCAATTTAAATGTGTATGTAAATGTTCCTGTGGGTGTGTGTGTGTGTGTTTGTGTGAGTAATCATGGCGCAATTCCGTTGAATGCAAGCCAAAAGGCACATCTAATATATACAATGGTATGCAAATTTATAGCCCATCTAGGATGCTACCTGACTCCTTCAGTTGAGCATTTGAAAACTACACTGAAAGTTCACTGAGTTAACTTTAACAAAATAGTTTACAACAGCCAAATCAAAAGATCGGACTAGATTAAATTTATGAAATGAAAAACTGCTTTGTGTGAATGTCGTTTGTTAAGTTATAAACCTGAAAAGAATATAAATACGTCCATTGTTGATCTCAGTGTAAGCAGACCTACACTGCTTGTGTTAGTGTCTTATGCGTGTGTATGTGAGTGTTTGTGTGTGCATGTGTGTGTGTGTGTGTGTATGTGTGTGTGTGTTGCATGTGGAGGGCAACAAGTCACTGAACGAGCAAAACAACTTGCAGAGCTGTAGTCAAAGAGCATAGAACGTCAAAGAAGTTAATTTTCGAGTGACAATAGAGAAGACACACACACACGCACACGCACACACACAAGCACAAGCACGCACTTAGCTTGAGGCTGACCGCAATGTGCTTGAGGATAAGTGAGTGGACAGAGAACAAACAACGGACTTGGGGACAAGAGTTGACTACAAAAGTTGGGGATAAGTGACTGCGGACTGAAGTGTGGACTACGAGCTAAGTTCTGCGAAATAGGCAAATTACACGAGTCTGGCTCGCAAACCCACAGACTAACACACACACACACACACACACCCATACACTCATGCTCATGACCACGGGACACTGGTTAATGGAACCCATCTTCCACAAACGGCCAACGGAAGTTGGCTCATTTGTCGCCAATTTGTGGCCCCCAAAGGAAGTTGTCTATGCTCATTTGAGTATCTGCCGTTGAATTTGCTACCAACAATTTGTACACATCAATATAATTAAGCAATTAAAAGGCTACTGCACCAGAGATCTAACATTTTGCCAATTGCTCTAATTTGTTTAAGTCCCTTGCAAAAATCGTACTTTCAGTTTCACCCCAAAAAAGTATAAAGTTTCTGAAAGAAACTGCAAAAGGTATATCCATATTTAACAAGAGTTTAGCGACCTCTTCAAGCACATAGAAATATCGATTACTAGTGCAATATGCTTATATTGTTAAGCGCAAATCGCTTTACTTATATGGGAAGGAGTGAAAGCTGAAAAGAACCCTTGGAATGTAAATCAAGTAGATTGTAAGCCTTTGATTAACATATCGAAACAATCGAAATCCGATATGCTCTTATTTTCTTCCGGTACTTTTTAAGTGCCTGGCTCCTTAAATAACTCAACTTCTGCTGCTGTTGCTGCTGCTGACCTTTTTTATTATATTGGTAACAATGCTTGTATTGTTACAGTATTGTATAAGTAAGAGAAATTGGTTTGCTATGGGCGTAATTGATATCATGTCAGCCACTCGATAGCAAACCCAAAATCCAAAATGGAAACGAAAACGGATATCGAGTCCGGAGCCCCTCTGGGTATTCGTATAGTTACTGTTGAAAGCTGTAAATAACATTTTCATCATTAAAACATATAGTATATGTTGTGCATGTATGTGTGTGCGTGGCTGTGTGTGTGTATTTATATGTTGATGTTTGTTGAAAATTGAGTTGGAAATTTAGAGTGCTAAAAGTATTGATGGTTCGCTTGATAGCATTTCACAAAAAGTTGAATGTTGTGCTCGGTGCGAGTTGATTTTCAAATATGGTCAGACACATTTATCGATGGATGCGGTTGCTCGTTGAAAATGTGTGTGAGTGTGTGTGTGTGAGTGTGTGATTCTGAGTCAAGTTAAAAGGCCAACAAGTTAAAGTAGCAATAACAACAATAAGAACAACAACAACAACAGCTAGAAATATTGCAAAGTAAACACGGAAAACTTATATACTTACAGTAAGCGCGACAGAGAAACAGAAAGAGAGAGAGAGAGAGAGGGAGACAGAGAGAGAGAGAGAAAGCGTGAAAAGGAGAGGTTGAAACTTGAGGACAAATCAGAAAATAACAAGATAAACAGTGGTTGTGTATATGTGTGTCTGTGTTTATGTTATTATGAAGATTTGTAGCGAATGGTTGGAAAAAAAGCAATAATAAAAGCAGCGACAGCAATGACAGAAAGGCAGCAGCAGGGACAACACGTCCTTGGCCAGCGTATTAGCGTGTGCATTGAGTTTGTGAACCGAGAGATTTTCTTCACATTTCCCATCATAAACGATGTGAATAGGTATGGAGAAAATGTGGACAAATACATGACGATTTTGCTCAAAAATTGTATGCAGGTATTGAATTAAAATGTTGCATACTTTTAGGCGACAGTCAAATCAATTGTTTAAATTGCGTAGTATCCGAGAGACGATCAGGCTTATTTTTTGTCGCGGCACATTTAACAATGACAACAACAATAACAACAATAAAAAGCAATGAAACAACAGCAGCCATGCCGGAGGGAATTTTTCAAACAGAGACATAAAGCCAAGCCAGAACTTAGCAGGTCCTGGACACTGTTGATTGTGGACGTGTGCTGTGTATTGTGTGTGGGTGGGTGTAGGTGTGTGTGTGTGTGTGTGTGTGTGTGTGTGAGAGAGACAGTCGGATCAGGTGCAATACATTCAACAAGTGGAGTCACATTTCATGATGCGTTCTTCTTTCGCCTCCTCCGCATACACATAAAAAAAACAACAAACAAACAACAACAATGTCACAGGCGGGGCGAAGAAGCACAAAACGGCGTATCGACGAGTGAAACATTTATGCAGAGACAGAGAGAATTAAACAGAGACACATTGGTAAAAAGACAGAGACACACACTGAGAATGAGAGAGAGAGAGGGAGAGCGATAGAGATGCAAATAGCGAGAGAGTGAGGCGTGGGGCAACAATGTGCAGTAGTTAGAATACTAGTTGAATGCATATATAAATGTATGTGAATTGGTCCAGCATCCATAAAACATGTCACATCAATTGCTGGAGTGCAGGACGAACACGTTAGAAACACCAAAGTACCAAAAATACGTTAGACAAGTCGCTTACCTTGCCATTGACATTATTGACAAACTTAAGAGTCTGGGTTGCCTCTGGGGTAGCAACAAAATCTATGCTAAACTATATATAAGTCTGCTCGCAGGAATTGTGTCGCACGTGCTGAATGCCGTGCAGCGAGCAAGTTGAGTAGCAGCGTCGTGTTGCAAATCTCTGTAAGAACACCACCAGAATCATAATCAGCAGCCGCATTAACATCTATGAAAAAGCCGGCTCGGCTGGCATGCCCCTTGTTGGTTTTGCTTAAACATGGACATGGTCGATACCCCTTATATATCTACTTTGATATGACGTAACTGATGACACAAATGAATATATATCTGCGTATGTGTGCAATATAAATTACAGCGATAAGAATTATTATGAATGATGGATTCAATATTTTGTTTCTTTATGGTGACTATTTGGGACTGAGAATGCTATATATAAAAGTGACTGAATGAAACATTTATCATTAATCAACAAAGCGATTTACAGCAGTTGAAAAGCTTGCCAAATTGTGTAAACATTTGTTTGATCGAAAAATAAAAGCGGTCGTTATACAATTATTTCAGTATTAAACTCAAAGATAAAATCAAACTTCGTTTACACATTAAATGAACGTGACAATAATTATCGCAGTCATTGAATAAACTGTGATAAGCGTTGCAGGAATCACTGAAAGCAGTGACTTTAGACTTAACTGGCTCTGACTGACCCACATTAAGCAGGGCGCAGTCAGACACACAAATTAACAAATTATTCATTTAAATCCCGGCAAGGCTTAGGTGGGATTGGGGCTGGAGGTGATGATGGGAGGCACAGTTTGCCGATGACGTTGACTGATGCGCCAAGTTATTTATTTATGCTGAAATATGAGGATGTGGGGATGACTCTGACGAGCTTGTGCTGACAGACATGTGTGAATGCTAATGACGAGAGCTAGGAGAGGAAGCAGGTGTGGGGATGGAGAGGTTAGTGGACAGAAGCAGCGTATGGCTAAAATTCCCAACGAATTTTTCTCTTTTTTTGACTCATTCATTAAATTTGTAAATTAATTTTGTCGTTCGTTGAGTTTCTGTTTGAAGCATACAAAAGTATATAAGGGGGACAAGCGGGGAAAACCGCGGCACACGGTGTCGACGTGGTGCATAATTCATAAACAGTTTTCAGCGTCGCTCAGCACCACAAGTAGACATAATTTTGATGAAATAAATATAAATGTGTTGCTAACTTTTGCCAATGCGACTGACAGAGACAGTCATAGATACCCAGAGAGAGAGAGAGAAAGAGACAAAGCGAGAGATTAAAAAGAGACGCGATTGCACGACAAATCTCAGCAATGAGGAACTAAACAAAAAACCGCAGCTCAGCATAAGTGGTCCATAAGACGGACAACAACTAACCTGTGATTTGGAGCGCATTGTCGGCTGATATTTGCGTCGTATCTTGCGGGGGCAGCACATGCACAGGAGGCGCACAAAGGCTCTGAAACGGATTTCAATTGAAAGCTTTTGTTAGTGGTTGAAAAAATATAAAATATGTATGTGCTCTAAATCTCATACACTGTGAAACAAAATCAGTACAAAATCGCCAACAAGTTACGGATCTTGGAAAGCATATTTGCCTTGGTGCTTTTTGGCAGCTGTTAACACAAATGTACTTTTCTGAATTACAAAATAGATTTTTGCTTAAATATTTTCTCTTATTTGGAGATATATTTATCTACAAATAGAAAAATTCTTTCTTTCTTAAATAACTAAATTAAGTAAATAATAAAAATAATAGCTAAGAATTTTTTCGTATATAAAGAAATTATATCTAATAACAAGAAAATCTTTATAATTCTCTAAATTTCCGAGCGATTTTTATTCGGAGTGTATATACTTAAGTCAAGAGAAAATCAGATTTATGATTACTTAATTGAAATGAAGATTTTACTTTATTTATTTTGATCAATAAAACTAACAAAATTAAAACTGTTTGAATAAAAGATTGCATTTATATTTTCAAGACAAACCTTTACTATTTTTTACTTTTTAGAAATATATAAAATTAAATTGAAAATTATTTGAAAATTGTTTTAAATTGAAGTTAAAATGCTGAAATACAATTTTACCTGCGAAAGTCTCTGCTCCAGCAGGCATAGATCACAGGATTCATACAGGAGTTGATCCAGCCCAGCCATGTCACAATTGCCGAGACAATCTCCTCGTGCTCAATGCACTCGATGCAGAAGCCCGACAAAAGATTCACCACAAAAAACGGCAGCCAGCACACAATGAACACGCCCATCACAATGCCCAGCGTCTTGGCCGCCTTTTTCTCTTTGGCAAACTTGGCCAGCTTGCGTGAGAGTGAAAAGTTCTTGCCCATATGTCGATGTCTGGCCAGGCCATTATTGTGCAGCGCCGATAGCGGCTCATCGTCCGGTTCTTCGGGCGTCGATGTCGTTGTGCCACCGCTGTGATTATGATGATGATGATGCGAATGCGAGTGCGAGTGGCTGAGGGAGCCACCACCACCACCACCGCTCGACACCTGATGGGTGTTGGTGGTTGGTTCCCGAGTGGTGCCGCCACGATGAATGCGCAACGTCAGCTGCAGTTCCCCGGATGCCATCAGCACCTGCTTGGTGCCGATCTTCAGGGATCGCGTCTGAATAACCGCCGCCCGATAGATGCGGCAATATGTGAAGACCATGACCAGCAGCGGCAGATAGAAAGATATGGTGGACGAGAACACCAAATAGCCCAGATGCTCGGTGAAGGTGCACTTGTAGGCGGGCATCTCGCCATCCCTCGCAGCACGCCACCAGACAATGGCCGGAAAACTAATTGCGCTAGAGCAAATCCAAACGGCTGCTATTAGGCCAGCGGCACGCTTCACAGTCATCCGCATGGGATAGCTGAAAGGATCCGTGATGGCCCAGTAGCGATCCAGTGAGATGACGCACAGATTCAATATCGATGCGGTGCTGAAAAGTACGTCCAGCGAGCGCCAGATGTCGCACCAGTCGGTGCCAAAGAACCACGTGTTCTCCAGCACCTCGTATAGCGCCGAGAAGGGCATTACCACCAGACCGACCAGACAGTCAGCCACTGCCAGGCTCGTGATAAAATAGTTGGTGGCCGTATGCAAGTAACGTTCCCTGATGACGGCCAGGATGACCAGCGAGTTGCCGAATACCGTTGCGAACGAGAAGAGGAAGAGAAAGGCAAGCAGGCCGACCCGATCATTGGGTAGCGCCTCCAAAAACTCTGATAAATCCGGCTCCCTGGTGGTGCTACTGGGCATACCTGCTGTCGTATTCAGATTCAATGCCAGCTCCGTGCTCGTTGGCGCCGCATTAAAACCATTGAAATAGTAGTAGATATCCTCGGAGATGTTGTAGCTGTTGTAAAAGACTGGAGCACGCGTCTGGTTGAGCACCTCGCCGCGCAACAGCGCCAGCACGGGATCCACCAACTCCGACGCTGCTGCTGCTGTTGCTGCAGCATCCGTTTCCGGTGCTGCCAGTTGGCGTGGCTCATCATTGAAGTCAGCCATGGCCGTGGCGCCAGCACCAGCCTAATACGTTATATCTGCAGCTGAGACAATACCCAGTTCCTGTTGTTGTTCCTGTTCCACTCCGTAACATCGGAGCCAGCCAAGCCAATTATTCAGTCGCATTCTAACTTCTGCAAAACAAAATTGGGGGAAAAAATTATTAAAATATTGATTCCATTTAAAATAAATGTGTAAATAAGTTTAAATAGTATATGAAAACATTCAAATAATAATTATAATCTGCGTTTGTTCAGTGTCACACTGCGCTAATTGCTCTAGGATAATAAGATTATCCAAATAAATCTCGCTAATTATGTTGATTTTCTCTCACATTTCGGCTTAGGCAGCATCCGATGATTTCCATGAATTATGTGCACCTCGAATTAAGTTAAATCCAATTAAAATGTTGACTCACATCCGATTTGGTGCGAGTAACAACAGGGTACAAATTTTAAAAGCACAGTAGCTAAACAAACATATTAATTAGAGAGTTGCTCGCCATTGTTTATTTTCTTTTTGGCCTGGCCTCAAAAACGATACCGTCAGACCGGAGTCTGGAGTCTGTCAGAGTGCTTCCGTTAGCCATTTAGCTGCCCCTCCCCAGCCCCTCCAGGTGAATAATTCATTTACATGCAGACACGGTGGCGCTCAGTCAACGTACCCTCGTTTCGTGGGCGGGACAAGCAAATAAACAAATCCAATTACATTTCGAGTGCTAACAAGAACAGGACGTTGCACATAAGCCACTTGGTGTATCCACCCAGTTCTCAAAAGCGGAAGTCAATGATTGCACAGTATTTAACCAACTGTTGGTCTCTGAGCTCTATTGATTGCACCTCTTCTGTAGCCTGTACACAAAAATTTAGTAATGGATTGAAGTAAATAAATAGTAGCACATTTATTTCATTGCATTGATTCACAACGTTTTGCTTGTCTATCGAATAATTATTTATTCAGATCGTTATGTGAATTTAAAAATATGCACTATATAATTAAGAGAATATATATTTATTTCTCTAAAATGATTGCAATTGCGGCAACTCAGCATTTCATAAAATATTCTAGCAACTAGTGTACTAAGTGATTCGGCAAATTTAGTAAATACAAGGCTCCCATTTCAAGAGATGGATAAAATCAAATAATATGAACTTGCAAGATATTATTATTTGATAAGCATTGTCTCCAAGCAAATGTGTCCAAAAGTAGTTGAATCCCTTCTGTCAAATTTGTTAAGAAACTGCTGATAACATAATTGAAATTGAGTGAATATTAAGTTGGCTGATAATTCGGAAAATGGGCTCGTAGTTGAGTTAACGCAATCTGTTTTGAATTCTAAACGACCTGTGGCTGGCCCGGCGATTTGTTAGTTTTGTTTAGTCACATCATTTTGGCTGTCAGCTGCTCCTGCGAGCTATTCATTTCATGTCTGCGTGTGATTATCACCTGCCAGTCTAAGGCCACGGTGATAAGGCGATACTGGCAACTCAAATGCATGCACATGCTTTGGCTTCACTTTCCTCCAAGTCAGACAGCCAGGCAGCCGGCCCGCCAGAATTTTGTTCCTCATTTCCGCCGGATTCGCGTCGTCTGCATGCCATAAATTTTCCTGCCTGCCTGCTGTCGTTGGCTTATCTGTCCCTTCTCTCCGCACAGTGCCCACACAACCAGGTCTCGGTGTCGTTATGGTTGCTTTCTTCTTCACAACGTCTTTCGTCCTTATTTTGTGGGTTTTTCTGCTGTTTAGTACAATTTCCTGGCGCATTTCTCAAGCATCACAACAACAAAAAAGATGGTGAACATTTTTTTTTCACTTATGCTGAGCATGATGAGGCCGTTGATGTGCAGTAAGTCAAAATGTGCGTGTGTGTGTGCGTGTGTGTGGCCAAAAGTGTTGACTCTTGAAGTAGCCGTAGGAAAACTATACCCACAAACTCAAAAACAGTCAGCCACATGAAATACCAAAGTAAACAGAATAAAAAAAAGATCAACAACCAAAAAAAAACAAGTATAAAGGCAAATTCATCTGGTTTGGGTGTGTGTGTGAGTCTGCTTAACAATTTAATTGAAGCAGCCTTAAAGCTGACCTCCACTTGGCAACATGCCAAGTCCGTCCCTTTTACAGTCTTCTCTATGCAAATGGCGTCAGCCACGGTAGCAATTTGTACATGTGCTCAAACCCTTTCGACCCCTTTTTCCGCTTAGCGTTTGTATCTCAACTTTTTTCGTCGACTGCAAAAGGCCCGAAAATGGTTAAGTCATTGAATAGCCGAATGAAAGTTAACCGAAATGCCGGCAGCCATCCATTTATACGCACTGATTGCGAACCATTTGTTCACACTTTGAAGGGATACTACAAATAGGACAAGCACTGTGCCTGGCCTCGATATGAAATCAACCAGAGATAGCTTCAACGATAAGTAATTGTCATTTCAATTGAGCACAAAGTATTCTTTTCTATTTGATAAGCAAGAAAAACAATAATAGTAACAAATTCCGTGTTAAATGCTGTTGATTAATGACTGTAGTATTCCCTAAAGTTAGACACGTATCCTAATTATTCTTGTGACACGAGCAAGCCGGACAACAGTTCATCTTAACTCCTTTGGGTATTATTTGTGATTACCTGGCTTTCTTCTTGGCAGTGCGCCGTAGATTTTAATTTGGATAAAAATCTGGCATCCTTGTGTAATTAATCTGTGACCACTAATTTGTTTCTTTCCATGTCTGCTTAGCGAAGATATACAGTGACAATAGTAAAAGAGGGAACTCGCAACCATTTGTACCAAACAAATAAAAAAGTCGGCTTCCTTTTTTAATAACTAATTCGATGGGCATCAAATTTATGCAAGCACTTTGAGCTATCACGCGTAAAAGAAAATAAGAATGTGCCATTATGTAAGCAGTTAAATAAAAGGGAAACAATAATGTTTCACAGATAAGTTGAGTTCACAAAAGAATTGAAATTGCTCAGATAAGTTTGGTTTGAAAGCTTAAAACTACAATTACATTTCAACAAAAATGTGTTTCGATGCAAACACAATCAATTCAGGGTGACATAAATTTCCAATTGAAATTGATTCAGTAGCTACAGTTCTGGTTTCAATGCGACAACAATTGCAAATGAGGGCAATCTAGGTACCCGAAAATTTAACGTCAGCTGAAAAAATATTTATCCAATTCAAATGATTCAATATCAACAAGCGTCCTTTTGGGTCAGACATGGTCCTCATGATCCTGCTCCCCTTACATATATACTTGACCATTTGTCGAATTTTCACAGTGAATTGTAATTACATGAAACGATTTCAATTGTCGCATTGGTAGGACAGCAATTCAATTTATAAGAAGTATATTTTTATGTTATTTCTGTTATTTGAACAACATGCAAAGTGGCTTCCAGCTGACAAGGCGTCATCAACCTACTGAAAATAAATACAGGAAGGGTCTGAATAAGTAGGCAAAGTTATTTTTATGACGATCCAAGGACATTTTCCCCAGACATTGTCAAATGAAATGCCTAAGCTGCTTCGAACTCATAAATTTTGTGATAAGGACACTTTAGGCTGTCGAATTTTGGGTGATGCGAGTACATCCATTAATTTTGTGCACTATCATTGAATTGGAATCACCACCCATAGATAAGTGCGAGTAGTTGAGCAGCAGGTACATAGCCGAAAAGTATATGACATTGAACAACAACCTTTTCCCGAGTGAGTTTCGCATGCAAATTACCAGTGACAACAATATAAGCAGGCAGAGGCGTTATCAATGCCTATCAGCGTTACTCACTTAGAGTTGTACAACGATAAATCGCTGCCTTAAATCTCGAAAATTGCTCCCCAAGCGTTTTTAAGTAAACGCACCAATGTCAGGGAAGGCCCTTTGAGCCATGTTGACAATGCTCAAGAAGGCAATGGAATTGGCAATGGCAATGGCAAAGGCAAATCTTGGCAATCTTTATGTGAGGCAAGCACTCAAACACCGAGCCAAAAGACTCTTCGGTAAGGCACTAAAACGTCGGTAAATATGTATTTTGAGTCGACTAGCTGAGCTATGTGTCTACAAATGGAATTTAATCACGCGTGCGTCGAGCTATCCACACAATCCGATATTTGGTTTATATTCGCCTTTGCAACTTGTCCTTTTCTTTGTTTTTTTTTCTTTTCGGATTTGATAATGCGCTGCTGTTGCCGATGCCGGGTCCCTGGCGGTATCATGCTGAGCGCTGCTTAATTATGTCACAAATATTTACACCAAAAACCGAATGGCAGGACCTTTTGCGCCTTCAGTGTCATGGCACGCAAGGAATCCGGCGAAAACAAACAAACGGCAACAACAACAATAATCAGTTGAAGAAATCAACAATACAAGCCAAAATCAAATTAAATGAGGCTAACTCCAACCCAACAAGCGGAAGCCGAGAGCGCTTCGCATTCTTGCAGCAATCAAGGACGAATAAGGACGCCAGCAGCAGCACCAGCAGCAGCAACCAGGACAACCGATGGTTTTACGAAAGTGGATTTCGTGATAATGGCAGGCATTAATTTTAGCCATATACAGATGCGATTTATTCCGTTGCCAGCAGGGATACAGCATTTTTCAAAGAGCGCACCCTGTATTTGAAACAGAGGGAGTCTAAAAATCCACAATAATCGGAATCAATTTAAATAAAACAGTAACAGATTAAAAAGAGATCGTCGTCATTTAACCACATATCGATTGTGAGAATTAATTAAAAATTACAGGGTAGTCTTCACTTGAGCATATTTGTTAGAATGATCTCATTTGTTAGAATTCTGCCCGGCTTTGCACTTTCTCACTGTCCGCTGATGTTTTTCGCTTGCGTGTCATTATTTGTTGTCCACATACCTTTGGCGTGTTAAAAGTTATTGACAACCCCAGCGAGGCAAACGCTACAGAATACAGGATAGCACTGGCTCAGGCACACATGGGGACACATTTAGAGCGCTTGTCACGCAATGAATAATGATTGGACAGTAACGTCAACAACAACAGCAACAAAAACAACAACAATAACAACAACAACAACAGCAAGAACAGCAACAACAACAGCACTCAGCGCAATCAACGTCTGCCTCCTGTCAGTGGTCCAATCGAGCGTCGTTTAAGT